CGAGCGCGAGCAACGGGCGACCCAAAACATAAACATAGTATCTCGCGCGTCGCTCCACCTCCCGCTCATCGATCGATTTTCTTAAATGCCTCCCGAGTCCGGCCTACCGTCTCCTGCATCCTCATTCGCTCAAACGTATAAATTTCTTTGTCGGTAACTATTGTTACTTTGTACCTCGGTACATGATATTTCTCCTTAGTTTAACCCAATCTACCGCTATTTGCAAAGTGGCTACTTTTGCATCAGACACCCTGTATATTCCGCTTCAGTCGTTGATAGGGCAGCAGTCTTCTGAAGTTTACTTTGCCAAGATATAGCGCTTCCTTGTAATCTGAAAAGTGTGCCTGAAACTGAACGCCGCTGGTCTTGGTCATTTGCCCAATCTGAATTGTTGAATCCCTCTAGGCTTACGTTTCCATCGCTGCTGTACTCCAATTTGAAGTTTTCGGTGCCTTTAAGGTAACGTAGAATTCGTTTGACGGCTGTCCAATGAGGTTTCCCCGGTTGAATCGACTGACCACATTAACGGCGTGTGCAATGTCAGGTCGAGTAGCCAAGCTAGCATATAAAATGTTTTCTACAGCTTCTTGATAAGGTCTTCATGTCGGCTATTTCTTCAACTGTCTTCGGTGCCATTTCTTTGCTTAATGCCTGATGTTGATCCAACGGAGTATCTGCAGGATTAGTTTCTTCCATATGGTACCTGTTTAGTATTTGTCGTATATAAGCGTTCTGGCTTATCCATAACTTGCCTCATTGTCGGTCTCTCTCGATCTCGATGCCTAGAAAGTTCTTAGCTTCTCCTAGGTTCTTCATTCTAAATTTACTTGCCAGTGACTTCTTAGTTTCCGTCATAGTAATCTTGTCGTTTGCCAAAATTATGATGTCATCTACGTAGATAGCTATTATTATCTTTTTATCATCTTCGAATTTGTAGTAAATGCAGGAATCTGCCTTAGATCGCGTACATCCCATCTGTATTAATGTAAAATCCAGGTTTTGGTTCCATACTCTTCCGCTTTTCTTGAGTCCATACATAGCCTTTTGAAGTTTCCATACCTTGCCTTTTTGTCCCTCTTGAGTTATCTCCTGGGGGGGGGGGGGCACGTAGATTTCTTTTAAATCTTCTTGCAGGTATGTCACATCATTTGATGTACTTCAAGATCGTATTTGGCTGCTAGAGAAAATAATAATCTGATCGAATTGTATCGAACTACCGGAGAATACACTTCGTAGTTAGTATCTGTCGATTGTAAACATCCTCTACAACCAACCGGGCTTTGTATTTCTCGACCTTTTCTGCATCATTTATTTTAGTTTTGAATATACATTTCGTGTCTAGGATATTTTCACCTCGCGGAGGGTCGACCAACGTCCAAGTTTGATTTTTCTTTAAAGAGTATATTTCGTCCTTCATAGCTTGCTTCCAAAGATGACTATCCGATCTATTTAATGCTTCTTTTACATTAATTGGGTCGGGAAAATCGTTGTTAGTAATCAAATAAGTCAGAAAATCATCTCCGAAATTTTTCGGTTTCCGAGTCCTCTGTGATCTTCTTAACGTAGGCTGCACCTGTGTTGAATCTTGAACCATTGCTATTTTATCCTGGTTGTTGTAATCTTCTATACCACTGGGCTGCTCTGATGGTTCCTCAATGTGCTCGTCTTCTGTATTAACGTCGTAATAAGTTTCTTGCTCAGATTCATCGCTGGGTATTATCTCTACATCTTCCTCCTGGTCGCTTTCGTTATCTGAGTCTTCTTTATTGTCATTGTAGAACGGCTGGTGAGATCTTTTGCTATTTTCTTCCTTCTGTATGACTGTGCTTTGTGTATTTTCGTAGAAAACAACATCTCTACTCTTGAAAATTGTTTTCGTGCCTGGATTCATCAATCGATAGCCTGCTGAATCTGCGCAATATCCGACGGAAATGCATTCTGTAGCTTTCGGATCCCATTTTCGACGTTTTTCTTTGGGGATATATGCTAATGCTTTGCATCCAAATACGCGAAGGTGTGAAAGATCCGGTTTTTTAGCTGACCATGCTTCTACTGGTGTCGTGCTCTTCAATCCTTTAGGTGACCTGTTTACAAGATATGCTGCCGTAAACACCATCTCGGTCCAATAACATACAGGTAAATTTGCTTCAGTTAACATAGAACGCGCCTTCTCTACCAAACTGCGATTCATCCGCTCTGCTAATCCATTCTGCTGTGGTGAATATGGTACGGTAAGCTGATGCTTAATTCCTGATCTAGTTAATATTCCCTCTAGACTTCGATTAACGTATTCGCGCCCGTTGTCTGTTCTGAGTTTTTGAATTTTTCGACCTGTTTCATTTTCAACTTGTGCTTGGAACTCCTCAAAACAATTCGCGATTTGATCTTTTGTTTTCAAAAAATATACGAAAACCATCCTTGTTTTGTCGTCAATCAAAGTTAAAAAATATTTCGATCCTCTGATGGACACATTTTCCATTGGACCGCACAGGTCTGAGTATACTAGTTCCAGGATTTGTGATGCATGTATTCCGGTTTTATTAAATGGTAAACGCTGCATCTTACCTTTCACACACGTAACGCAAGGCGAGGCATCGGTATTTTCGCTATACGTTATTCCAGTAGCCATTCCCTGGTTCAGGAGAGACATGCTGCGACAATTCATGTGACCGAGACGTCTGTGCCATAACTCATGTCGCATAAATTTTTGGCTCTGGCGCAGTATCCAGTTTGTATATGCCGTTCTCTTCGCTCATACTTGCAACTAGCTCTTCATTTGCATCAATAATTCTGCTGCTATTTGGTGTAAATGTAACAGAAAAACCTTCATTAACTATTTTATATACAGAAAGCAAATTTACCTTACTACCAGATACATACATATAGCGCATCGGTGTCCTTGAATGTCTCTGTATAATTTGACGTGGCTACTTTCAGTTTGACGTTTCCCATTGCCTGAGCTTTTATACGGTCGCTTGCAATTGAGATAAAGGTGTCCGTCTTCTCGCTGACATTCTCCAAGTACTTGTCGTTGGAAACAACATGTGTTGAAGCACATGAGTCCACGAACCAAGCCGTTGTGTCCTAATAGTCCGATGTATAGAACACGCAGAATGTTCTTTCTTCCTTTGACCTATTGTGTTTGGTTTTCTCTGTCTTTTCATTATTTGAACCTGAAGCCTTTGCGGTTTTGTTGCGGAAGGCGTCAACGTAGTCTGGCTTCTTCGTGCAATGCTTTGCAATATGCCCGTGTTTATTACATTTGAAGCACCGAGGGCCTTTACTATTTGATTTGTATTTACCTTGCTTTGCATAGAAAGCTGTTCCAGTTTCTTTGCTCTTCACGTCTTGCAAAATTTTCATTTTTACCAGATCCGTTGAGATTTCGATTCCCAAATTTTCTAGAGCCATAATCATTGGCTTGTATTCGTCAGGAAGTCCCACTAACAATAACGTTACTATCCATACGTCTGGTACATCGAGGTTGGTGCTTCGTAATTGATGTACTGCTGATATTATTTTGTTTACATATTCGTCTGTTGTTGCACAATCTTCCAACTTGGTCGTTGTCATTATTTTTATCAACCCGACCCTTCTTGTGAGACCTGAGTCCTCGAACGCCTTCTGAAGACTTTCCCACACTTCTTTTGCCGTAGTTAGATCCTTTACGTGTACATAATGTAAGGGATCTATGTCGAGAATGATTCTTGCTTTGGCACGACTGCTTTTGCTAACGTTTGCAGTGTATTCTGATTCGCTTTTGACGCACCCCCACAGGTCATCTATTTCAAGGACTGCCTGCATGCATATCTTCCAAGTCTGATAGTTTTCTCTACCTTTCAGTCTTTCGACTGGAAGTATATTGTTTGTGGACTGCTGTGATGTCGCCATTTTACAGATGTACGATGGGAGCGTCCCGTTTGGCCACGTTAATATTGACCACAGTCCCGATTGACCACGTTAATATCGATCACGTTGTGTATGACCACGTTGATATTGACCACGTTGCGATTGACCACCGTCCCGATTGACCACGGTCCCGATTGACCAATTGGTCAATTGCAACGTGGTCAATCGGGACCGTGGGCAATTGCAACGTGGTCAATCGGAACCGTGGGCAATTGCAACGTGGTCAATCGGGACCGTGGGCAATTGCAACGTGGTCAATTGGGACCGTGGGCAATTGCAACGTGGTCAATTGGGACCGTGGTCAATTGCAACGTGGTTAATATCAACGTGGTCATACACAACGTGGTCGATATTAACGTGATCAATCGGGACTGTGGTCAATATTAACGTGGCCAAATGGGTGCCACTCTGTACGATCGCGTGCCTGGAGAGGTTAGTTTTGGTTTCGCTCGTACCTCGAGTCTCTACACTCAATCCGGACAACAATAACTTAA